AAAAGGTGAGTATATAGACTTTAAAATCCATATCTTCGGACCCAACAAAAACGATATCTGCATGATAGTATTTGAAACAGACAAGGACACAACCTATAGTCTGCTCAAAAAGAGCAGAATCAAACTTGACTGGGTTAATTGCCAGGTCAAGGAGAGATTGACAGTTCCGAGATGCAACGGTGCTTCAGCTACAAACACAGACGTGCAGACTAAACAAGTTCTGACAGAGGATAGTGCTGTTGGAAATGCGGCTTGACGGGCCATTCCGGAAAAGCCTGCCGGACCGAACAGCCGACATGATTCCTGTGCTCTGCAGCGCCAGTTGGGGCAGATGCACACGTTCCGAGAACGAGGGTGTTGGCGGTCTATCGGACAGCATTGGAAGAGCGTTGCGCCGAAAGCAAACCCAAAATGAAAGGAATCCAGCAAGGTAACCTACCTGCAGGTGTGAGACCATCCAGCTTGTGCTTTCACAAATAGTGAAAGAATGAGACGCCGACGTACTGATACTGAAACAGCAGCTATGGAACCCTACGTAAACAAGACGGCTGGCTTTCAAATGCCTCCGCCTCTTCTTCGTTTTTCGTTCTTTTGAGTAAAGGGTAAAGCAGCAAAAAAATAGAAGCGTCTGTAAGAGGGGAGGCTTACGTGAGAGTATGGATGGACACCATCACCTACGTCAGCGTATATCTTACACCAAACTGCACGGTGGCAGTCTTCGAAGATTGTAATAGCGTCGGCGTGCAATGCCGATATATTCACTACTATTACCAATTATTTATAAAGGGGGAAGGCAAGGGAGGCGGTGTATCGCTCCAAGCAAAGCAGGAAGGAGAACAGCGGGCAAATAATTTCACACACACAACTCGTTGACAAACCGTTTATTACAACGCACTACCTAGAGTGCCGGCGAAAGTACAAACACTTATTAACAATAACGCGCAAACTTAATCTAAGCGAGATGACCGGCACGTTAGCGCCATGTCACCTCGTTAACCGGCTCAAACAATTACGTAAATTACACACTGCCGGAGACTACGCCGGCTCGGAAAAGCCTGGCGTAGCAACGCGAACCGTGAGAATCGCCGAGGAAAGGAAGAGATACAAAGAGAGAGAGGAATCGGTGACCTGACCAATTTTGGTGGACGTCGCTGTTGCTGGCAGCCTTGAAGGTATCCCACCGGCGGCTAGGCTGGAAAACCCCTAGCTGCTGCGTGGCCGGCGACCTGGCAGAAAAGGCTGTCGGGTGTTGCCTCGATGACAGCTTCTTGCAGGGCAACTGCTGCGTCGCTGGCAGAGGAAGTCCCGTCCGGCCGATCTGCTGAGGAATGCTGACTTCTTCCGGACAAAGGGCAGGCAGCGATGGTCACCAGCTAACTCGTACGACTGGTAAGACTGATTGCTGTCGCGCGCGTCGCGTAACTCTCTGTCGCGAGTGCATGAGAGCCGGCTTCTCACACCTTCTCCCACCACTCGCCTCCTAATCGGCGGCACGCGGCAATGCCGGTCGCGACAAGTGCCGCGCGCCAAGCCCAACTTAGACTATAGTTTTTCTCTCTTTCTCTCTCTCTCTCTCTCTCTCTTGCACTCTCAATACTCGATCGCGTCGTCGCGTCCACGGCTTCTCCTTCCACTCTCGTGCGTTGCTGAAAAATAAAAGGGCAGGCATCAGGCACGTGATAACAACGTGCGCTTGATGCCGGCCGTGCGCCTTTGCCTAAGAAGGAGAGGGAGGCAAGCACACGGTGTAGGCCATGACGGGCCTACACCGTCACAAGATAAAATCGATAAGTTGGAGGATGCACTAAGAGACTTTCCGGGTGATCTTATAATTACGGGCTATCTGAACTGCAGGACGATAGAGTAGGACATGAAAACAATGGACAAATGAGGGAAGCTACTACTAGAGATGGCCGCAAGACTTAACCTGGGGGTGGCCAGCCAAGGAACGACATTGACATACAGGCAACCGAAATTTAGGTATTCAATACCTGATGCGGCGATGACTTCAAGCAGGATCTCGTCGCGGCTAAGAGAATGGCGGATGATTGAGAACTATACAGCCAGCGATAACCAACAAATTGTCTTTAAGGTATCGGATCAAGTACCATTCAACGTAACGGATAGACCAGAGATAGGATCCCCAAGTACTGGAACTTATGGAAACAGGTCAGAGATGTTTCGAAGAACTACTACAGAAGGAATCGGCATTTACCGAATGCGTTATGGAGATGATGGACACGGTCCGTGACGACCCAAATATGCTCCAGAGGGTTATTACTGGTGACAAATTATGGCTTTATAGATATGTCGTGGAAACCAAAGTTCAATCATCTCAATGGAAGCTGTCGCATGAGTCAAGACCGAAAAAAACGCGCCAAGATTGGTCGAACGTGAAAGTTTTGCTCACAGTTTTCTTTGATTACAGGGGCGTAGTACGAGGGTGGTCCGATAAGTACTTAGCCTACAAAAGAAAAACGAAAATTTTGAAAAAGTGGCGTTTTATTTTTCAACATAGTCTCCTATTAGTTCGATACACTTGGCCCAGGGATGCTCCAACTTCTTTAACCCGTCTGAAAAATACGTTTCCTCGAGGTCTGAAAAGTAGACTTCCGTGGCAGCGATTACCTCGTCATTCGACTGAAATTTCTGCCCGGCGAGTGACTTTTTCAAGTTTGGAAACAAAAAGAAGTCGCACGGGGCTTAATCTGGAAAATACGGTGGATGGGGTAGCAGTTCGTAGCCTAATTCGACCAATTTGGCCATGCCGACGGCGGAGGTGTGAGCCGGTGCGTTGTCATGGTGAAAGAGCCCTTTTTTCTTCGCCAAATGGGGCCGTTTTTTCTGCAATTCGACGTCGGATCGGTCCAATAATTCGGCATAGTACAGCCCTGTGATCGTTTTGCCCCTCTCCAGGTAGTCGACGTAGATCACATCTTGTGAATCCCAGAAAACGGTGGCCATCACCTTTCCGGCCGATGGGGCAGTCATCGCCTTCTTCGGAGCACTTTCGCCGGGTAAAGTCCACTGTTTCGACTGTTCCTTGGTCTCTGGTGTATACCAGTGGATCCATGTTTCGTCGACTGTCACGAAACGAAGCAGAAACTCCTTCGGATTGCGCTTAAACAGCGTCAGACATTGCTCTGAAGTTGTCTCACGGTTGCGCTTGTTGTCCGGAGTGAGCAAATGCGGCACCCATCGCACCGACAGCTTTCTTATGCCCAAAATTTCATGCAGGACATGACCCACGCGGTCTTTTGAAATGCCTACGATCTTAGCTATCTCGCGCACCTTCAATCGTCGATCTGCCAATACGAGATCGTGAATTTTTGTCACGTTATCCTCCGTGGTAGCCGTTTTCGGAGCAGCTGGACGTGGTTCTTCAAAAATCGACGTACGACCACGTTGAAACTCGTTAAACCAATTTTTGACGGTCGTCATTGAAGGAGAAGAGTCACCGTACACAGCATCCAAGCGCTTTTTTATTTCGCTGCGCGATTTCCCTTCCAAAAACAAGAATCGAATCACCGACCGATACTACTCTTTTTCCATTTTTCAAAAATCAACGGACACACTTGCTTTCACACGCTCTCAAAAATAAACTACAATTCCGATCCGGCTCAAATCTTGACAGTAACCATCGAGAAGGTTGTACTACGTGATAGAATATTTCTTTTGCGAGAGTGGTGCCATCGTGCGGTGAGGCTAAGTACTTATTGGACCACCCTCGTATATCATGAGTTCTTGCCACAGGGTAGTACGGTCAATAAGGAATATTACCTACAAGTTATGCGCAATTTGTGCGAAGCAATCCGCCAGAAACGTCCGGATTTGTGGAAGAACAAAAACTGACTTTTGCACCATGATAACGCCCCTGCTCACACATCGTTGCTTGTGCGCAAATATTTGACTGAAAATAACACTAATGGTGCCGCAGCCACCGTATTCCTTAGATCTGGCCCCTTGTGACTTTTTCCTGTTCCCAAAATTGGAGAGGCCCATGAAAGGATGACGCTACGCCACGATTGAGGAGATAAAGATGGCATCGAAGGAGGAGCTGAACAAGATCACAAAAAATGATTTATTACGTGCTTCGAGGATTGGTAAAAACGTTGGCACAAGTGCATTATATCCGAGGGGTATTACTATGAAGGAGATAAAATAGATATTCATGAATAAATAAATAATTTTTGAAAACATAAAATTCACGATACTTTTTGAACAGATCTCGTATATGAAAGGGTGAATAAATGTAAGTTGACAGAAATGACGAAACACAGATTAGAAAATAATTTGAAGACAAAAAGAGACTATAACATGGTCTTTCCAGCGTGAAGTAGTGCTAACGCAGTTTCCTGCTGGAGAGCGACTAACGGTGGATGTTATTACTTTTTGCTGGACGGTGTACTTTCCGACAAAGAGAAGCAGGTTATAGACAGTCAATAAGTTCTTGAAAACTTGGAGGTTTCTGGCGATTGAACGATAGATCGCTTGAAGCAGCCTGTTCTGAGACGATTCGCGAGTCTCATTGTCACGGCGAAGCGGGTGTGTAGGCGAGTAGCTCTCGCGAACCGCTGTCAGGAACTATGAACAGGATTTTTCCTGTTGTTAACCATCAAAATAATAATAATAATAATGATAATAATATTCTATTATAATAAATAATAATATTACAATTAATAGTAATATTCAAAGCTATTCGGAATTTAATAAAAAATGAATTAATTTATTCGTAGGATTATACTTTCGATTGGCTTTGACTTCTGATATTAATATTGTAGGATTCATAAAAATAGAAAACTAAGAAGAAAAGAGATTGAAGTATACATGCTTCAACCGACATTTCCAATAAATCTTAAAAGATATCAATCTTTCCATAACTCTCTAAAAATAATTCGTCCAATTTTAGATGATCATGTTTCTTAAAAAATACTCTCATAAATTGGAATGCAGAATAAAAATAAAATGATGAACAAACAATGCAAATAAATATATCTTACCAGTAGTAACACATATCAGCTCGGTATCTGATCCTTTTGTTTGAACAATACCCGCTAAAACCTTACGTCGAGCATGCTGTGGTTTATTTTGCATCAATTCTGTGAATTTTTGATTCACTAACTTCCCTATCTTATCAGCTAAAGTTTGTGGTAAACTCATTCGCTCTTGCCACTGACCAGAATTCACATAATTCGGTAGCACTTTAAGTGAAACTGGCATATAAAATAGAGTACTATGAACATTTCGTAATTTAGCAAGTGCCGCTTTGCTCGCCGCGGCCTTAGCTAATTTTTTACTTGGTCCTGTTCCTTCGAAAGTTTCTCCATCAATTGTTATAGCCACGGTAAATCTAGAATAGCTTTCACCTGTATCTGATATACATTTATATACAACTCCCGGATAGAGTTCATTAATTAAAGCTACGGGACCCTTATCGAAATATTTATTTGTACTTTTAGGCTCCTGAGGTAACGTTTTGAATGTATTTATCATATCCTTTTCTGTAATATCACTAGTAAAATCAGGTTCTGCAGTAAAATTTGGAAGAGCTAAAGTAATTGCTTGATGAACTTCAGGAGTATTTCTGAATTGAACAATATTTCTCAATGCAAGTTCTGCTGCGGCATGTTTTGCCATCTTTTTTGTACGCCCTTTACCTTCGTAAATTTGTCCGTCAATCTGAACAGCAATAGTAAATATTGGTGCATGTGTAGGACCAGATTGAGAAACAACTTTGTAAACAGCTCCAGATTTGAGTTCATTTAGAGCACATACAGCATTCTTAGGTTGAAGGTTTTTGTGTTTCTTCTTCATATGAGAAAGCTCCACTGAAAAAATAGAAATTTTAAATGTTATATTATATGCACTATATTTACTATTATAACAATTAATAATTGAATCTAGTTAGAATATAATTAACTATAGTTTCAATATAACAAAAATAAGTTACCGTATCCTAAAAGTAAATAAAAATATAAAGTCTCTCAACAATCTTAAAACTATTTGAAAAAGATACATTGGGTTTTTTCAAAAAAAAAAGTTTTTGTTCTAACATTCGAACTTTAAATATTAATTCGAAATCGCGAGAACAGTCCGTCTCAACCGGAAATTTACACGATTCGACCAGTTGTAGCTGTAAAAGCATGTATATATAAGCGATTCTTCTATAACTTACTCGTTTTCTAGAACATTTATTTTGCGTAAATTAATTTTTTCAAACATAATCTCAAAAGAAAAACGTTTATGTAAATTTCACTGAAAAATTAGAGGAAAAATATTTGTTCGTCTATGTTTGGAAGTGCTAGGGATTCCATAATGACATTGAGAACTACCATAATACATCGAATTGAATAACTAATTCGAAATTCTAACTTGCAAAAATAAATTAATCTTCCGAAAACTAACTTTTAGAGGACATTGTGTTAATAGAAAAACTCTGGATTTAATAAGCGCACTCTATTTTATTCAAGAAAAAGAAACGTGTACATTTTCACAATTTTTCATAATAAAAGCATTTACAATGAATAATTAGTGAAGTTCTAAAATAACCAGTTTTGAATTTTATTTATTTATTACCAGAATACATATACATTAATTACATAATCGCAATAAACATACATACATTACACAATGAATAAATTGTGTAATCCACCAGAGGAAATAGTATTCCTGTTTGCCGTTCTGGACATACTTAAACTTAAAACTAATAAAATAAAATAAAAGTAATGAAACAAAAAAATATATATTTCTATAGTCCTCTTGAAATTTGATAATCAAAAACTATCAAGACAAGCAAACTATTATAATTCAGTTAATGAATTTCATAATGTTACACACTTATCACCAAAATCGAATGAGCATTGTTCTGGCTGTAGTTCTATTGCTGTAAGTTGATTTTCTGTCACTTGCGTAGCAGATTTTCTCTATGTGATTAAGTCTGGCTGGACATGTAAGTCCCACTGCACATGCGTCCCTATAACGGGACATGCTTTGATGTTGTTGAGAAGAGTAGCACTTACGGTTTGCGGTGAAGACTATGTCATCAACAACTAGGTTGGAATTTTTGTCCGTAAATAGAATTGGTATAAATTTGGGTACCTTGTACTCATTTGCAGAAGTAAAGAATAGCTTTATTATTGCCTAGATAATTGATGTCACCATAAGTAATTCTAATGCAATTTGGTTGTTCTATTGCCTTGCCTGGGGCTGACTCAACTTTGTTTGTTATTGCTTTAATGTTGTTAACTTCAGTCATTTGGTCTATCATATGCAAAATCGTTTCTATAGGATTATGTTTTGTAATGTTTTTATCAGGTGATGTTTCCGGTTCTGAGCGTGCTTTTAAAAATGTTATTGGTTTAACACCCTTAATGTAGGGTTTATAGGAGTCGTCATTGTCTATATCTAGTATAGTTTTATTGATTGTTATATTATGTGATTCAGTGAATTTATTGGTTAGCTTAATTATATTTTCCATTTCTTCAGTTGGTCTGTTTAGCATTTTTTTATAATTTTAAATGGTTATTCTAAAGTATGATCTATTATTATTTAGGTTAAACTACCTTGAGCACATATGTATGTTCTAATATCTAGTAATATGTTGTTTGGGAAAATCGTATCCTCATGAACTTCCAACGTCAGATACTCAATTTCATTTTGCCATTTTCCAATGATATGAGTAAATTATTGCAATTCTATTTATCTTTCTTAGTTTTCTTACTTGGTGTAATAAGTTTTATGGGTTCTGTTATATCCATAATTTGAGTTTTATTTTCCTAGTTTGTAAATTTTCTATTGATTTAAATTCTTTAGGTAATTTATTAAATAATGTAATAGCCCTAATATAACTGTTTTTGATACTGATTTGTCTCAATCTTCTTGGTACTTGTAGGCTACTGTTTTTTGTTTTCTTTTCTTTATTATTGTATGTTATAGAAAGTTCATCGTTATGGTACAGTAGTAATTTTAATGTGAAGGTTTTTCCTACATCAAGAAGTTATTTCTCAACGATGAATTTATTTTTATAAACTATTTTAAGTAATCTGTATAATCAAAAGTACTTTATGTAGTCTTGTCTATGAATTACTTTACCTTGTATAGAAATATTCAAGTTTTTGTGTATGTTATTACAGTTATTACCAAATTAAAGATAGGCTGTTTTATCAATGTTTAATGATAGTCTGTTTAAGGCTAACTAGTCACCTACTTTTCATAATTAATTATTCATCATTCTTTCAACTTCTATCTAACTCCTACCGGATGCGACGACTGCTGTATCATTTGCAAAAGTAGGATAGAATTTTTTGACATATTCAAAATAATATCATTTATGTAGAGTAGGAAAAGCAGGGGTCCTAGGATCGTTCCTTGTGGTATTCCCGTGTATATTGTTTCAGGTTTACTAATGTGATTATTTACTTTCACAATTTTATTTCTGTTGGTGTGGTAACTTTTGACAAAATTATAAGCTTTTCCTTGTATTCCGTAGCAGTATAATTCATTTAGCATAAATCTTGGTAGTAGGTGTGATCTACTTTATCAAATGCTTTAGCTAAGTCAAGGAAGGTGATAATGATACGATATTCTAGATCGAGTTGATTGTATATTATATTCGTTATATGGTAGAGTGCACATTTTGTACTTTTATTTTTCTGGAAACCATATTGTTTGATAGAAATTAGAATGCAATTATTTACAAAAACTAGTTATTCTTTTGTGCATTAGTTTTTCAAAAACTTTACGTAGCTAAGTTCGATATAAGTGATATGGGCCTGGAAATGTTTTTCTTTGTATTTGTGTATGGGAATTACCTCTACTTTTTTAAGTTTTCACAAACGTAAAAATCTTATAGACAGTAAAAGTGTTCACAAACGTACCCTTCCCTTAGAAAAATACTAAAGGGATCAAGTCACGGTGAAAATTAAAAATAATAGGATAGGTAGAGTAGCAGTGAAGTTGGTAGAAGGCAGATGAAAAGGCCGGGAACAAACACTTCGAATTTCTTCTTCCCCGAAGAACACCCTGGATTATGTGTCGCTCAGTCCTCTCGATGTTTGCCCAATAGTGGACTCCCGGTGGAAATGAGTATGGATGATACCTTGACTGTATGGTCTCGATGTAATCTGGAGAGTTCAGTCTACTCTAAGCCACTGTTAGAGTAAGAAAAAGTAATTGACGACGATGCACCTACTTTTATACAGAGGGCTGAGGGATAAGAGAGCTCTTTGATCCTCCCTTCAGTCCCATTGGAAGGAGGTGAAATTGGCCCGACAAGTGTCGCCCCCCATTCGACCATTACTAGCATCATAGAGGGAGTGCGTGACGTCAACACCCAATTAGCGGCTAGTTGAGACTTGTTCAATAAATAGATAACAAGTATCACAAACAATCGTGTTGTGAGTTAACCAACCGCAGGGCTTGTTCTCGAAATACATTGCCAGGGTATGGCTGACGACAAAAACATTTAGAGATAATATTTGCAAAACAGTGACGACACACTCTCTTCACCTTTGACAACACGGATTGACAAGAAAAAAGTCCAATTTAGCTATTCATGTGAACACGATCGACAAATAGGAAACACGCGCATCAGCATCAATCAGCGAACAATGACAAGTGTTCACATGTGACCCACAATTACCAACGCAATGTGATAGTAGAATTGGCCGGAAAAACAAAAAAAAATTATTTATACATGAAAAAAAAGCAATCCAAACCGAGGAAACGTCCTCGCAATTAAACCAAAAAAACGGCCTAAACAAAGTGTATCTGGCCATTTTTCTTTGTCTATGCTAGTGTTTATTATGTTGACCAGGGGTGTTGAGATGAAACTTAATAATAGTTTAAGTACTTGTCAGCTTATTCCGTCAATACCACCTTTTTTGATTTTCATTTTATGGACTATTTCTTGTATTTCACATATATTTGTTGTCTTCAAAAATATAGTTTTGTTGTTCATCTCTGGCATTTCTATGTTTTTGTTGTTGGGTGTATTGATTTTATTACTTAAGTCTTTTCCCACGTTGCAGAAGATTTCGTTCACTTTATCGGCTATTTTTTGTGTCTCATATTTAAATATTGTTATCAGTAATGAAATCGATAATATTAATTTTTTTTAGTGTTTTTCCCTAATTATTGTCTATAGATTTCGAGGATTGTTGGTAATGAGGTTAATGTTCTGAGCAATTTATTGTTTTTGCAAAATTTATTAATTTGTAGAAATTAATTTTTGTATTGTTATTAATCTGCATTTTAATGGAATTCTTTTTTAATGGAATTAAATGTTGTTAAGTAGGTAAGTATTGTATTTAATATTTTCTGGTTTTCTGAAAAAATTGTCTATACAGGGGCCCTTACTATTATCATCAATGGAAGGTCGGATGATGGAGTTGTATCCTGGGCAGTAATCACTTTCTAGTAAAAGTTGTTGAAATTCTTGGTCTAGTATTCTTGAGTTAATGTGTCACAATTGAAATCGCCAACTAATATACAATTTTTCTTATTTTTATGTATTGCGACGGGACCCTGGCTAGAATAGCCGGCCCTGCCTGGTTCGCTCTCTCTCTCTCTCTCTCTCTCTCTCGCATCCTCGCTGCTTCACTGTTGCCCTGGTGAGCGTTTGAACTTACGAACCAATACCGATGCTTGCACCTCTTTATTTCAGGACCAATACCTGAGCCGGGCATCGTCATTTGGAGCCAATTGGGAGCGACAGCGACTGCGGCAAGAAGAAGAGAGAGAGAATGACGCGTCGCGAGTAGAGAGTAAGCGAGAGCGAAGCCGTCGGTGTTGCTCGAGCCGACGCGCGAACGATGAGGGGGAGAATTCG